CCGGCGCCCGCGGGGCCGGGGGCGGCTCCGGGAAAGCGGCAGCAGTTCGGGACCCGCCTCCTGACCGATCCGAGTCGCCTCTTCCAGCACAACGCCTGGTGAGCGCGCTGCCCACGCCCTGGGCCGGGCCGGGCTGGGCTGGTCGACGCGAGCGGAGAGGCCTGTTTCCTGGGCGCCCCCTGGGCTGGGGCAGGGAAGGGGCGCGCCTGGTGCCGTCCCCGAGCTGGCGGGTGGGCAGGCAAGAAACCCTGGGGCCCCGCCCCTGGGGGCACGTGACCTCCCCCTAGAAGTGCGTGCATCCGCAGGTAGCCGCCTCGCCCCCGGAGGACCCTCGCGTGACTCTGCCCCACACCCGCTTCCCATGTTTTTCTGAAAACCTGGATCCCCGCATGATGCTGGGAATCCAGGACAAATGCTATCTGGGAGTCACAGAGCCCGGGGCAGGGTCTTGAAGTTCCCATTTCAGGGCTCTCCCACCCAATTGGGAACAAGCGGTCACCTTAGCTGGTGGCACTAGATGACCGTGCAGGCATTGCTCAAGACTGAGGCACTCCTGTACTGCAGGAGTACGATAGAAAGGACTGTCTCTTGGGGTTCAATATTGGTCGTAGAGGACTCAGCCATGGAGCGCTTGCCTCCAGCTTGTGACGATGTCGGTGCCCATTGTAGTCTGGGAGTATTTGGTCTTGGGATGTGTAGCACTGAAGTCCTACAGTGTTTCTAGTAAAGGGCTGAGATACTGAGCTCAATGTGCTTCCTGGATTTTATTTTCTGCTGTTAACGTTCTACTCCCAAATTCCTCCTGATTTTTTTTTCCCTATCAAATGCATTGTTCTTCATCCTGAACTGTTGTTTGTCACGGCAAATAAATGGTTGTAGAGCATTTAAAACATTTGGTGCTTCTAGAATGTTTTGGATGTTTCCAGTGCCCTGGCAGCTGATGCATGAACTATCTAGGGATCACGTCAGCAGGACATCAAAACTACTGTAAAGTGAATGCTGTTGAACAATACAAGCATCTCTTGGGAACAGCGGGAGGCTCTGGGGTTTGTTTTGTTATTTTCCAGAAATGTTAAGTGTCCACAATTTAAGGTGGACTTAGCGGGAACTGTAGGTACCTGGCACTTTTAAAAAACAAGGACTGAAATTAATACCTTTCAATTTAGCTTTAAAGCTTCTGAGTTCCATCCCAGACCTGCCTAAGTTTTGGTGGTGGGTGAAGTAATTTCTGTGTGTAGTTTATATAAGCAGCTAGGAATTATTTGATATCAAAGATACCTTTTAAAAGTAAATCCTCAATACTTCTTTCTGACAAAATTAAGAGACTCCTAGAAAATTATCATTTTGGTTTTTTAAGTCATAGTTAAATGTAAATATTTTCTTAAATCCAAGCTGAAGCCAGAATAGCCCGTATCTTCATCTTTCAAAGTTCTTAATTCGGAAGCAACCAAGCAAGCAAATATGGCCCATTTAATGCTTGCCCAGCTTTATATACACATCAGAGCAGTTAGTACAGGGGTGGGCAATTATTTTGGGCAGAGGGCCACTTTTGGCAAGCTGTTGAAGGTCACATGGGTAGCCCTACCCCTTGATAGGTGCCTTGCCCCCTGGTCATCTTCTGACTGGAAGTCCCACCCCGTAAACCCTGACCTTTGCCACCAGAAGTCCCTCCCCTTGCCTCTGGAAGTACTCCTTTCCGCAAGGGGTTTTGCCATCTCAGAACCAGAAAAATACCAAATTATATTCTAAAAAGCGAACATCTACAACATTCATTAATTTGATTTAAAAAAATATGTTGACCTGATTTACATGCATTTGCAGTGCACACTAGCTTAAAATGAAGTCTTACTCTTGTATATTGTGGGGGTGTGTGTATAGGCATGTGGGATGAGGAAGCATGTGGGTAGATATGTGAGGAGTACGGGTATGGGGTTCTTGGGGGGGGGAAGGGTGGCTGAGGTGCATGAGCAGGGGGGGTTGGAGTCTGCATGTATGGCAGTGTGAGGGGGTGCATGTGGGACACACACACACACACACACACACACACACACACACACACACACACACACACACACACACACACCCCCCCCACACACACACACACACACCCACCCCCTAGCATGGTCCCGTGCTCCTGGCCCGGTGATGCATCTGGGAGCCACATGATGCTGGAGCGGGGTAGGAATCAGGGAAATGGGTGGGGTGGGCCTGGGCTGCTGGGTCCTGCTGCAGGCCCTCCCTGGGTCCTACTGCCCCTGGCTCCTGTCATCTTTGACAGGCAGCAAGGAGCAAATAAATATTAATTTACTAAAATTTTTAGCGGCCCTGTGGGCCCTATACAATGGCCTGGCAGGCCATATTTTGCCCACCCCTGAGTTAGTGTGTTCTTAATGCCTTAAAGCTTCCCTGTTCCCTGGTATTATCTCAAGCACAATGGTTTTCAGCCTGTGGTCCGTGGGCCCCTAGAAGTCTGCAGACTGTCACAGGGGTCAGAAAAAGATTACTATAATCAATCAAAAGTATGTGAATACCCACACTTAGAATTCAGAGGCATCCATACCTCCATTCAAAATTTCCAAAGGGGTCCACACTTCCATTCAAAATGTTTTAGGGGTTCGCAAATGAAAAGAGATTGATAGCCACTGCTCTAGCCTATTGAAATGCGTATTGTTTAACATTAAATCTGTGTATGATATTACCATGCCATTTTCCTGAGGTTGTGAAATAAACATCAAAGTTTTGGGGGCTCTTGTTCCAAATACCCAGTGGAAGAACCTATTTTGGTATCTGCGTAAATGGCAGAAGTTTCAGCTTATGCTTTCCAGCCAGCTGGTATCTTGTGGATCTGATTAAAAAAAATACAGTTTTAATACATGACAGAGTCCAGTCAATCCTTAGTACTCCTGCTTTGTCCACAAGGAGGCCTGATGATGTCAAATGTGATGATAATTTTATATTGTGGAGTTCCATCCATTGAAACTGGATGTTTTTACAAAAACAGTGTAGAACCTGGATCTGCAACAAGTGATAAATGATAGATTACTACTGAGCAGGCCCATATTTCAACTGGTGACCTTTAAAAATAAATAAATAAAAGCTTTATTGCACCTGAGTGAGCCATCTCATGCTCCCTTTGTTGACTAATTAAGGATGTTTCTCTCTCTAACTTTGCTTGGTGTTGAAATGTTTCCACATAGCTTGTGGCTTTCTCTATTTTTGGTTTAGCTTAACTTTCCTGGCCTGGTAGCTCATCTGATTTTTCCCAACAGGGATAATGTAGAGTGGTCCGAGGAGCAAGAAGCCAGTGCAAGGAGAAAAGTTCAAGATAATAGCATTCAGTTCGTGCCACCAGATAAACAAGGTACTTATAAATTAAGCTCTTGTTTTTAAAAATCTTGACTCAGCAATACAACCGCTGACAATTCTAGCTGAAAACACAGCTTAATTTATTTTCAAAAAAATTCATCCAAGAACACATTATCAAGTGCCCAAGGCTAAAAAAGCTACTGGTCTTAATACATCCCTCCCAGATGTATTTCAGACTTGTCTGGTATCTTAGTTCATTAGATAGTAGAAGTAGATCTACACCAGAGTAGATTGTATTTAAATTAAACTTAATTTAAATCGTGATTTAAATCATTTGCCAGGAAGCCTCAATTTAATAATTGTTTTCTGCAAAAAGTGCATTCTTGTTGTTTGATATCCTTTATTCATTTAACTTCTTGAAATTTTGCACTTTTAGAGAAAAGTAAGGGCTTGGCTCTGTGTACACAAACTTGCAGAGAGACAATAGGGCTGATGGGTAGGTAATCGGGTCTGTTCTCTCTCATCTCCATATACTGCTGTTAACAAGGATATTATCTCTGGAGACACAAATCCATAGTTTGAGAACTGAAACTAAGCATCACAGAGATACTTAATGGAATCTTCTAGACCAGGGATGGGCAATTATTTTGGGCGGAGGGCCGCTTACCGAGTTTTGGCAAGCTGTTGAGGGCTGCATGGGTAGCCCCACCCCTTGACAGGTGTCTCGCCCACTGGTCGCAATTTTTGGAACTGAAGTCCTGCCCTCTGATCTTTGTCACCGGAAGTCCCTCCCCTTGCCCTGGGAAGTACTCCTTTGGGGTAGAGGGTTTGCCATCTTAGAACGGGGGGAAAAATTATACACTAAAAATCAAACACCCATAATAATATATTTTAATTTAATTTAAAAATATATTTTTCTCTGGATTTGTGTGCGTTTGTGCCGTATGTGTAGAAGTGATTGCATAATAGCTCAAAATGCAGTCTTACTCTTGTATATTGTGTGGGATGTGCAGGGGTGTGGGGGGCGTTGTGGGGATGTGTGGGTATGGTATTTGTGGGGTGTGTAAGTGTGTGGGGGAGGGTATATCTGTGGGGTTTGCAGGAAGGGTTTCCGGGTATGTGGGGTGTGCATGGGAACCCCCTGCGCACAGCCCCTTGAGCTGATCAGCACCTGCCCCACAATAGCCCAGAGCTCAAGTGCTCTGCGGTGCATCCCTGCCACCGACAACACCACACAGCCACAGTGCACTCTGTATCGCCCAGCTGTGGCATGTCCTGCTGCCCTGGGCATGCAGCAGTAGCGGCAAGGACCAGTGCATGCGACTGAGATGCCGCACGCCCCATGCCAGTTTTGAGCCCGTCTGTCCAGGCTGAGCAGCAGCGGCAGCTGGGCAGAAACTGCTGCTCATCATGGTGGGGAAAGTTGCCCCTCCACCTTACCTGTGAGCTGCCTGTGACTGCTCTACACTGTCACTGCTGCCACACTGGGCAGCCCAGAGGTGGTGGTGACAGAGCCATAGATAGGGCAGTGTGGCGCATGCTTCGGGCCAAAAACTGCCCAGCAAGGAGGAGAGGCTGCTTTCTCCCATGCCAAGCAGCAGTTTCTACCCAGTTGCTGCTGCTGCTCAGCCTGGACAGGCGAGCCCAGAGCTGGCGCTGGGGCCCAGGCACGGCGGCGGCGCGGGAGAGAAACTGCGGCTCAGCATGGAGGCCAAATGGCCCCTCTCCCTTCCACTGCCGGCACTTCCTGGTGCAGTCGCTTGGTGCCTGCAGGGAGCTGCCCTGCATCTGCTCTGTGCTGTCACCACTGCCCCATGGGGCAGCCTAGAGGCGGCGGTGATGTCGCAGAGACCCAGAGCAGTCCCACACAAGCTATGAGCAGCTGCACCAGAAAACGCCAGCTGCAGGTCGGGGAGGAGCCAATTCTTGGCTCTCTGCTTCCCCCCCAACTTTTTCCCTGGCAGCCCCTTCCCTTCTCCTTACTCTCAGACCCTGAACTCCCTGAGCACATAGAAGTGAAGAGCAAGTTAGAAAACAATAACCTTGAAATTAAACATGGCTGTCACAATTTGTATATAGTACTCATATACTTAGTCCATCCAGAATTAACGCATTACCTTTTTGTGAAACTACTGGAAGTTTTAACACAGGTACTCCATAAACACACTTTTGAGCTGTGCTTTGGCACCTACTTATATGTAGTACAAACTATCCATAATATTAGTTCAAAGCCACTCTCTTGAAAGTTTATATTTTAAATCACGAGTACTTACAGTACAGAGTAATACAGTGCAGACAGGCTGTTGGTCACTAGAGCTGCAGTATACTGTGAAGCAGATGGGACTTTGCAAGTTGCTTTAAAGAAAAGGGTAAGTTGCATTCATGTATAAACTAGCTGTGGACATAGAAGTGGCATGACTTCTTGTCCTCCTCCTGGAAGCTAATAATTAATTGATTGAAATGATACTCAGGATCCTGAGGAAAGGAAGGAAGGAGAGCTGCAGAGTAAGGACCCTGGATTTCAGGAAAGCAGACTTTGACTCGCTCAGGGCACTGATGGGCAGGCTCCTCCGAGAGGCCAGGCTGAGAGGGAAAGGAATACAGGAGAGCTGGTTGTACTTTAAAGAAACCTTACTAAGGGTGCAAGAACAAACCAAGCTGATGGGCAGGAAGATGGTCTTCTGCCATACATGCTCAGCTTGGTTTTGCAGGGAACTCTTCAGTGAGCTACAACACAAAAAGGAAGCTTACAAGAAATGAGTAGGGAGGAATATAAGAGTATTACTTGGCATGCTTGAGTGAAATCAGGAAAGCCGAAGCAAAACTGGAGTTGCAGCTAGCAAGGGACATGAAGGGTAAGGGTTTCTACAAGTATGTCAGCAGCAAGAGGAAGATCAGGGAAATGTGGGTCACTTACTGAATGGGGGAGGCAATTCAGTGATAGATGAGGCAGAAAAGGCTGAAGTACTAGATGCCTTTTTTTACCTCAGTCTTCATAGGCAGGATCAGGTCCCAGACGACTTGCACCTAGCAGCACAGTTTGGGGAGAAGGTGAGCAGCCAACAGTGGCAAAAGAACAGGTTAGGGACTATTTAGAAGTCAGTGGGGCCTGATGCAATGTACCTGAGGGAGTTAGCCAGTGTGATTGTAGAGCCACTGGCCATTATCTTTGAAAACTCGTGATCAGGATTATTCCTGGACAATTGGAAAAGGGCAAATACAGTGCCCATCTTTAAGAAAGGGAAGAGGGAGGATCATGGGGAGCTACAAGCCAGCCAGCCTCTTCTCAGTCTCTGGGAAAATCATGGAGCAGATCCTGAAGGAATCTATTTCTAAGTACTTGGAGAAGAAGGTGGTTAGGAACAGTCGGCATGGATTCACCAAGGGCAAGTCATGCATGACTGACCTGCTTGTCTTGTATGGCAGGATGACTGGCTCTGTGGATGTAGGGAGACCTTGACTTTAGAAAGGCTTTTGCTAGTCTCCCACAACCTTCTCACAAGCAAGCTAAGGAAGTGTATGGGTTGGGTGAATGGGTTGTAAGGTGGGTAGGAAACTGGCTGGATTGTCAGGCTCAAAGGGTAGTAATCAATGGCTCAAAGTCTAGTTGGCAGCAGGTCTCAAGTACCGTGCCCCAGGGATTGGAATATGGGATAGAGTGCACTCTTAGCAAGTTTACAGATGGCACCAAGCTGGGGGGATTAATAGATGCACTGGAGGGTAAGGCTAGGATTCAGAGGGACCTAGGCAATTTGAAAGATTGGACCAAAAGAAATCTCATGAGGTTCAATAAGGACAAGTGCAAAGTCCTGCACTTAGGGTGGAACAGTCCCATGGACTGGTCCAGACTGGGGACTGACTAGCTAAACAGTAGCTCCCCAGAAAAGGCCCTGGGGGATAACAGTGGAAAATTAGCTTAATATGAGCCAACAGTGTGCCCTTGTTGCAAACAACACTAACAGCATACCGTGCTGCATTAGTAGGAGCATTGCCAACAAATCGAGGGAAGTGATTTTTTTTTTTCTCTTCCGCACTGGTGAGGCCACATCTGGAGTACTATGTCCAGTTTTGAGCCCCCACTACAGAAAACGTGGAGAAATTGGAGAGAGGCCAGTGGAAGACAAAATGGTTAGAGGACTGGGGCACATGACTGAAATGGAGGGATCTGGGCTTATTTAGTCTAGAGAAGAGAAGACTGAGGAAGGATTTAATAGTAGTCTTTAACTACCTGAAGAGTGGTTCCAAAGATTCATAGATTGTAGAGTCGGAAGGGACCACAAAGGATCATCGTGTCCAACCCCCTGCCCCTGGCAGGAAAGAGGACCAAGGTCAGATGACCCCAGTCTGGTGTCTATCAAGCCTCCTCTTGAAGACATCCAAGTTAGGTGATAGTACCACCTCTCTTGGAAGCCCATTCCAGATTCTGGCCACCCTTACTGTAAAAAATTTCTTCCTAATGTCTAACCTGAATCTACTCTTCACTAGTTTACACCCATTATTGCTAGTTACTCCCTGGGGTGCTCTGGTAAATAGTGCATCTCCAATTCCCTATTGTCCTCCCTTGATTAAACTTATAGGCGGCTACAAGGTCTCCCCTCAGCTGTCTCTTGTGAAGGCTGTAGAGATCCAGATCCTTCAACCTCTCCTCATAGGGTCTTTCACAGAGGCCACTAATGCGAGTGGCCCTCCTCAGAACCCTCTCCAGATTCTCCGCGTCCCTCTTGAATTGTGGTGCCCACAACTGGACACAGTACTCCAGCTGCGGCCTGACCAATGCTGCATAGAGGGGGAGCATAACCTTCCTTGATCTGTTGGTCGTGGATCTGCTAATGCACGACAAGGTGCGATTGGCTTTGCTGATGGCTTCATTGCACTGCCGGCTTATGTTCATCTTGGAGTCAGCTGTGACTCCAAGATATCTGTCAGCTGTTGAGGAGGTCATCCCCCAACCTATAGGTGTGCTGGGGATTCCTCCACCCTAGGTGGAGTACCTTGCATTTATCTTCGTTGAATTGCGTCCTATTTCGTTCTGCCCATTGGTCCAACCTGTCCAGGTCGGCCTGTATCTGCTCCCTGCCCTCTGGTGTGTTAACTTTGCCCCATAACTTGGTATCATCTGCAAACTTGGAGAGGGTGCTCTCCACACCCTCGTCCAAATCGCTGATGAAGATATTAAATAACACTGGTCCAAAGACCGAACCCTGTGGGACTCCACTGCCCACCACCTTCTAGGCCGAGAACAAGTCCACCACCACTCTCTGGGTGTGATCCCACCTGACCTGTGTAAGCATCCACTCCACAGCCTGCTAGCTTCCCTATGAGAACAGGGTGCGAAACTGTCAAAGGCCTTCTTAAAGTCCAGGTAGATGACATCAGCTTCAGCTCCTGTGTCAAGGCAGTGTGTGACTTGGTCATTAAAGGCTATAAGGTTTGTTAGGCAGGATCTACCTGTGACGAACCCGTGCTGGTTTGTTTCCTTTCAGCATCATTTCCCCTGCTGGGCCTTCACAAATGCGGTCTTTGAATTTTCAATTATTTATTTATTTTTCCCCCCAGTATTTTCCCAAGGATAGAGGTAAGACTGACTGGCCTGAAGTTACCTGGCTCATCCCTTCTCCCCTTCTTAAAAACGGGCACCACATTGGCCCTTTTCCAGTCCTCAGGGACCTGGCCGGAGCTCCATGAGTGCTCAAACAGCCGTGCCAGCGGCTCAGCTATGACACTGGCCAATTCCTTGAACACCCATGGATGGAGGTCATCCGGGTCAGCTGACTTGTGCTCATCCAGCCCCTCCAAGTGCTCCTTAACTAAGTCAGCACTAACCTTTGGCGGTCTGGTGCCTTTTGGACATCGGTCTATGCTCAAGGTGGGGGAATTGTCTTGATCAGTATTAAGGAATACTGAAGCGAAGAACTCATTGAAGAGCTCCGCCTTTTTCCTTGCATCAACCACCAACTATCCTGATTTGTCCTGCAGGGGCCCTATGTTACTCTGCACCTTTCTTTTGCTCGCTATGTATCTCTAGAAGGACTTTTTATTGTCCTTAATTGTTGTAGCGGCCTAAAGTTCAGTCCTGCCTTGGCCTGCCTAACTGATTCCCTGCAATAGCATGCCAGGGAAGTGTATTCCTCCTTGGTGACTGCCCCTGCTTCCACTGCCTATAAATCTCTTTCTTTGCCCCCAGCCTTTCCTGGAGTTCCCTGTTCAGTCAAGGGGGCTTTTTTATCTCCTTATCCCCTCTCCTGCGTAAGGAGATAGACTCCTTTTGTGCCCCAAGGATCACTCCCTTGACAAACCTCCAACCCTCTTGAATTCCCATTTGCACAATGCTCTTGAGTTCTGCCACCTCACTAACTAGCCTTCTGAGTTTACTAAAGTTGGCCCTTCTGAAGTCTAACACTTTAGCCTCACTGGATATTTTTCCCACCCTTCACTGGATGGTGAGCTCTACCAAGTGATGGTCAAGAGGATAAAGCTAAGCTGTCCTCAGTGGTGGAAGTTGCAGAGCAAAGAGCAATGGTCTCAAGTTGCAACAAGGGAAGTTTAGGTTAGATATGAGCAAAAATTTCTTTCTAGGAAGGTAGCAAAGCACTAGAACAGGCTACCCAAAGAGGCTGTGAAATCTCCATCCTTGGACATTATTACATCCCAGTGAGACAAAGCCTTGGCTGGGATGATATAGTTGGAGGCAGTCCTGCTTTGAGCAGGGTATTGGAGTAGGTAACCTCCTGAGATCCCTTGCAACCCTAATTTTCTATGATTGGCTCCAGCGAATCTCATCCCTACACTTCCCACCCCTTTCTTCTCTGAACAGTTATTTTTGCTTAGGGACAGATTTAATCCAGGAGGTTTCTCTGGAGCCTGCAGTGGGGATTGTAGGCTGGACTTTGAGGGAGAGCAGAACAATTGGAGCTTCTTACCCCTTCTTTCTTTTCCAGAAATTCATTTCATGCCTCAATGTCCCCATGTGTTAGAATGATGACTAAACAAGCTATTTTTAAGATATCTGATCTTGGGGCAGGAATTATTGGAGAGATTCTTCAGATTTCTGTTGTGTAGGAAGCCAGACTAGAAGATTACTATAGTCCATTGTAAACTTAGTCTGTTTTCTGAGTGGTACTTGTCAGCTGTCCTTGATTTCTTGCGCTTTGTTGCTACTAATACTTTTTGTACTTCTTAAACCGAAGCTGTTAGTGTTTTAGATGCATTAGGCCACAAACCATCCCTTTGAGGTAGTTAAAGCTTATAGAGAGCTACCGCACATCTGGAGTAGAACATAGCAGCTGTTCAGTATAATAAAGCAAAACTGCACTACAGGGCAGGGCAGGAATCGGAATGTAAATAACTGAGTTTGAATCTTGATGAGATCTAGTATTAGCATCTTGTACTTGTACAGGTATACGGTGAGATCACTCACCAGTAAGGATTAGGACCTTGTATTTTATCATCTGAAAGATGGCACTTCCAGTTCCAGCAGGACTGTGTCCCTGCTGTGACACTGAGGAAGGCAACCAGTGATCAAATGAACAATACCACTTCTCTGGCGCACGAGTATTCCTTGAATCTTTCTCATGCAAGTACCGTATTTACTCAAATAGAAGACAAGGCTTTTCCCACAATCAAAATGGTGCGGAAGGCCCCTCATCTTGCATTACCATACAAAGTGGAACAGGGCTGCTACAGCTTTGACTCTAGCTCTGAGCCCAGGTCAGGGATAGAGTCAGACCCACAATAACCTACTGCCCTCCATCCCTCTGCTTCTTCTCTGCAGCCTCTGCCCCCCTTCTCCCCCACCTCCCTTACTGTCGGGCATCGCTTGGCTTGCAACTGTTGGGATCTCTCTCATGCATGGAGCACATAGAAACTACTTCGCCTGCCGAGCCACTCAATAGTGCCAACCCTGCAGGCAAAGACTGAGCAGCATCTGACAGCAAATGGGGGAGGGGGAAAGGCAGAAACGAGAATAGGGGAAGGAAGGGGCAGAGGTTGGGAGGATTTGTGGCAGGGGAAGACAGACTGGGGAAGTAGGGGTAGGGGCAGAGCTGTTGGGGGTGGGGTGCAGGTGGCAGGCATACAGGGAGGCTACAGAAGGAAGAGGTGGGTGGGGCAGAGGGCAAGGGGGCCACCTGACACTCTCCCCCACCCCTGCCCCAGCACTGCTTTCCCTGCTGTAACAGGCAGGGAGGTCCAGGGAGGGGATTCAAACAACTCTCCAATACTTAGATTCTATATCTGGAAAATTATAACATTTTATATATTTACCATGTATAGAATCTTAATTGTTGAGGAGGGTCATCTTGTATTCAAGTAAATATGATATTAAACTGACTTGTTCCTATTTCGTTTGAGGGCTTGATGGGATCGCAGCACAAAGAACTGTGCTTATAGTCTAACATCAGATATTAAAATCTCTTTTGACTTAGGTTTTGAGGACATGGCTTTTTACAAGGAACAAATCCTTGTAACTGAGATAAAGGTAAAGATTATTTTAAATTTAGCTCTTTGTGCTCCGGGGATAAATCCTACTAAAAATACTCCCAGAACTGACTTTCAGTTCTTTGCCAAAACCATTTTTTCCTTTGACTGAGCTTCCTTTTAGACAGAGGCTGTAGGCTGTATATTTCTACAGACTTTTCCAGTCTCTTTTTACCCTCTTTCAGATCTCTCTTAAACAGCCGTATACTTCTTGGAGAGATTCCATTTGTATTGTTTCTGCTGTGGTTTGGCTTATCAATGTTAATGTCTGCCCACCTTTTCTCCGCTTAATCCTACTCTTATTGGTGAATGGTAGAGAATTTAAGTGACAGCTATGTAAGAGTGTGGGTAATCTTAAGTCTATGTGAATCTTCTAGATTCAGTAATAAATATTCACTGTCCAGAGATGAGTAAGGGCTGTCAGATTGTTGGGAACTCTGGCCCTGGACCATAGCACTTGTAATTGGTCAACAAACCTAAGGACAGTGTAGTTAAGTTGTCTTTCCCTGCAACAGAAAGTTAGAACTGCTTTTGCCAAAACCTCATTTGTGAAGGACTGTCCATTCTTGGAAGTAGCCAGCCAACTCTGCATGTAAAGTTACTTCCCCAAGCTGCCCCCACAGCTGCATTACATGTATGAAGTCTCTGAAGTCATGTGGTTAAAATTCCACAGCTGGTTCTGAGCACATTACAGCTTGATCACCTTGATCCCACACCCCTGAAGAGGGAGTCTTTTCAGTTCTTGCTCCATATTTTATAATTTGCCTTCCTTCAAAGAGATGGCTTGCTTTTCAAATGTATCCACAAAGTCTAAAAGTGGTGATCCTTGCTGCCCAGGTCTTGTTCTTTCAGTGCGTCTGTCCAACCCCTCCCCCAGTACCTGGAGGTATGGGAAGCAGTTGTTTCTTTTAGCCATCTTTGGTATTCTCATCAATGTCTGATGCTCTAAAATGCACAGAACAGTGGAAAATAACTGCAGGGAGCAGTCCTGTGCTGACAGTTTATTATAATAATATTTCTGTAAAACATACCTTCAGTGATTTGAGTGCTCTACAAATGGCACTTCTCAGAGCAAAGCCCTGAGTTCACCTAGTTCCAAAAGTGTATTACTGACAGAGACAGAAATAAGACTAAAATGGCCTCCCTCCAGCCTTTTGCAGATAGGTCATTTCTCTCTCTCCCTCTCTCCCTCTCTGTTGAAATTCAGCTACAAGACGGACAATTCCACCTCTTCCCACTTTGTTGTTATTAATGTGGTAGCATGGTATTGTAGTTCAGGAGAAGAACGATCATTTTTCATGCAAGAAAACCAAAGTCAATAGATAATCCAATTTTCTGCACAGTTTGCTAAATCCAGAATGTAGGTTGCAACCCCTGTTTAAACTAATGGCAAACTAAGAACTTTGCTTTGATGACTATCAGTCTTTCTGCATTTTCATTTACAGAAGAATATGAGCTGAATGCTAGTAAATACTGGAATGATTTTTATAAAATCCATGAAAATGGTTTCTTCAAGGACAGACACTGGCTCTTCACTGAATTTCCTGAGCTGGCACCAAACCACAACCTGAGTCAAGCTGTGAGTTCTGTACAAAGAGATGGTAAAACTGAAAGATCCAGAAACTTGGGGCGGGAAAGCTGTGAAAATGGACTCTGTTCATGGGAAACCAGAGCACAAGGTCATCCAATCGGCTCGCTGAAAAGTAGTAGTAATGTCCATGAATCCTGCACAGAATGGAAAGCAACACAGAAGCTGAGTGGACTCAGCCTAAGTGATGGTGGCTTTCCAGGATCATCGGCAACTTACTGTATACTAGAGGTAAAAGCAAAGAATGAAAAAAGAACCTATTTCCCATTTGCGTTAAATTTTATTTTAGATTCTATTTGTCAGGATTTCCTGTTTCAAACTGTCAGGTCATCACTACAACTTTGTTACACCATCTTTTAAACACATCTCTTCCCAAACTGTACAGAACTAATGAGAGAGAAGAGTTAGCATAGGTAAGAAGGGAGAGCTCTGTGTTTATAGCTGAAACCTGATAGGATGGGAAGGTTCAGAAAGGTGCAAAAGAAAAGACTTGGTATCAGTAGTGAGCCTGAAAGAAGGGAGTGGACTTATGAAGCATGGCAAACAGAGTTGAAAGAATGAGGGGGAATTTGATGGAGCAACTCAACAAAGATGTTAGATACAAAAAAGGCATGTTGAACTGAACTGAACCTCTTGGGCTTTTATTATTTCTGTGCCCCAGTCTGGTATCTGAGATTCAAAATGGCATGTTATCACTATCCAGTACGAAAGCAACAGCTCTTTAAAATACCCTTTACTTGGGTAGAAAGCTGGTTCATTGCCTTGTTCATAAAGCTTCCCTCTGTCCATGATCCTGTGACTGATTTGAGGGGCATAAAACTCTGGAAGAAATAATTGCAAAAAAAAAATTTGTAGCTCGTTTGGAATGCTATAGGCCTCCGCACTGATGCTGAATTGCTCTTGGCCAATTGTGAGCTCTCAGAATGATGCATAAGGAGGTCCCACAATAGGCTGTAGGATTTCACAGGATTGCTATGCTAGAGCCAAGTTTACTGATTTTGTGCCCCAAGTCTTGTACTGTGTACAGTTGACCAACACCTACCTGTGGTTAGTTTTTGCACATAACTGTAAAAGTGATCTGCTGTGTTGAAACCTTTCTCTCTCCCTGCAGGATCCCAGCACCCAAAGCCCTGTAATGAACAACTTGCCAAATGGTCCATGCAATTAGATCATGTTAGCATATCCCGCCTGGATATTTACTGTACCCCCTTTCATTCAGACCTCCACTGGTACATTCCATTCCACTTACTTCAGTTGTTCCACCAATTTCCTAAACATACAAGGATAAAAGCTCTAAAATACATTTTGCGGCCCATCTTCTGTTCTTCAGAGAAGAAGTAAAGGTAGTAAGAGGCAGCGGCATGGCAGGCTTACGTTTAAGGGAGACGTGTCCAGAAAAGGAGACTGAATTAAGAAGGTGCAGCTATAATGAGAGCAAAGCAAACTTCCTTCTCTCTCACCCTCCCTCTTTGTCTTTGTTTGGAAATTAAACTGAGTAACCCCTGGCCTTTGAAGCTGTTGAGTGACTCATACTGATTGTTATGCTTTGGATTCCAGCAATAACTGCTTTCAGCAATAGCAACAGTTCACACAAGATTGTCTGCCTTCTAGTACAATTGGGTAGTTAGTTTGGTGGTTTCCTATGGAAGCCAAAATATAAGGCCCGATCTTGAAAGGGGCCTGGCATCTTACTGTCTTATTACTAATGGGAGTGTCAGGTGTTTGGTGCTGTCTGTATCTGGTCCAAAAGGGTCACTGGAGTCTTCCTTTAGTGGCCACAACTTGGGGGATCCCTTGAAACATTCACAAAGAATGGATGGTAAACTAGGTGAAGGGAGCCAACAAAGATGTATAACTGGCTTCTCTTTCTACAGGTTGGCTGTGGTGCTGGAAATACTGTCTTCCCAATTTTACAAACCAACAAGTAAGCAGCTTCTACGGGGATTGGTAGGTTTGGGTTTTTTTGCTGCATCACAAGCAGACCACTGAAAGATTACTAGAAAGGATTTTGTGTGTGGCCTCTTCTTAATATGCAGATTCACCTCACAATGAAGGAGCCCAAACACAAACAATGCATCCAATGGTAGTTTCTATCGATAACTTTTGGTAGTTAAAAGGCTGCTGAAGGACTGCAGAAAGCTGAGTGCAGTGATATCTTTTACCTCCTTTCAGCTGTGGTTGTCAAAGGATTTTACACACAAGTTTCCTAATCTGTCTCCTCCCTTCTAAACTCCCAACAATGTATGCACAGGAAACTAAGACATGCAGGGGAAAAATGATGTACCAAATATTGTAAAAGCCCCTGGGAATAAAACCCGGGATTCCATATTTTCGACATTCCAAAGCTTGTGATCTGTCCGTGAATCATCCTCCTAGCTTAGAAGTTACGCTGAGCACCTTTTGGGGAAAATAACCTTCCTGTTTCTTTTGTATTTATTTCAGTGACCCAGGACTCTTTGTTTACTGTTGTGATTTTTCCACCACAGCCGTGGATCTTGTTCAGGTAAACTTAATAATATTGCATAAATCCTAGCTGAAATCACAGTTGAAACTCTTCGTAGCATTTGCAGCGATCTACTCTTGGCACTGCCTTCACCAGTTCAGCTCTTTAGCACCTTGTTAATGCTTGGCTCTTGTCTCTAGTGCAAGTAAACCAGAGGAACAGATCACTGGTACCTCAGGGACTGAAGGGAGGCAGAACAAAAAACAGTATTTGCATTGGTTCCGGGTGTCAGCTTGTTTTTCCTTTCCCCTGTTGCTGGCATCACATTTCTAGACCAAATGCTCTACACCAGGTGCTGCTGAAGTCTGAAACCATTTGAAGTCCCATTTCTTCCAGTCTCCAGCTCTTAATGGTCTTTTGATTCACTTGTATCATTGATATCACCACAGTTCTGGGAATGGCATTTAATTGCTTTTGCACAGGCAACTGGGGAGATGTTAGTGTGGATGATGACTTAGTTGGCTAGAATGGGAGGGGGTTAAGGATTAGCAGTGGAATGGTAGATAATCCTGACGATCTTTGTTTAGAACACAGTTTGGAAACAAAGTATTGAATTTATCAGTCCATGTGCAATGATAGGTACTGATAAAGAAAAAAAGGCACAGCAGCAAGGAGCAGTTGTTTCACTGCGTCATTTAATTCTCAGCCGTACCTAACAGCTGCTAAATAAAGCTGACTAGACTGTGCATTTCTGTGGCTTCTGTGGTTGCTCAGCACCTCTGAAAAACAGGCTGCTTTTATTTGGGGACCTAAATACAGTTTTCAGAACATAACTTCAGAAATTCAGGTTTGGTGTTTTTGACTGAAATATCCAGTCCTCCCCTACTGAGATTTGATCAGTTTTTTGCTTTTGATTTCAGTGGAGTAAGTACTAGCCTCAACCTTTTGTATCTTGTAAAGAGTTCTAGTTTAATGGTATAAATTGCTCTTTCCTAGCCCTGGTCATTTTAAGAGAGAATGTGTCCTTATACCCATCACTGGTCCCTGAGTTTAGCACTGTTATTTTATAGGCAATAGTGAAAAACAAACTATAGCAGGTCAAAGCTCTAATGCAGTGGTTTTCAACCTGGGGTCTGCAGACTGTCTGAGGAGTCTGTGAAAAAGATGACTACAATGAATCAAAAATATGTGAATACCCACAGTTACAATTCAAACCTCCACTTGAAAATTTTTAGGGGCCTGCAAATGAAAGGTTGAAAATCACTGCTCTAACAGAGGTCTCACGTGTGCTTATTAATATTTCATAGTTTTCCCCCTACCTGACATCACTCAAATATTTTAGTAGTTCTAGGCACACAGCTTATTTCACTGCCTTTGGCTCTTTCAGCTGTAGTGTGTAAGAGCAAAATGGAGACCACATAGCCATAATGTTAGTATTTGGGTCTAACAGCATGTGTCCTTGTCACCTTTAATTACAGAACAATGCGGAGTATGATTCTTCTCGCTGTTTTGCCTTTGTTCATGATCTGTGCAACGATCAAAGTCCTTACCCAATGCCGGAGGAAAGTCTTGATGTCGTCCTTCTCATTTTTGTCCTCTCAGCTGTTCTCCCAGACAAGTAAGTCAGTCTCTGTTGTTATGCCAGTAGTTCTCTGCTTGAATAGATAGAGTGAATGTATCGTTGATTGGAGGGAAGAAAAGACTGTGTATGAAGTCCACTGCTTCTTGGGGGATAGTCAAGCAATACTGTCAGATGAAAAAAAGTAGGAGAAATAAATCAATGTTGAATTCAAGGACTCAGCCTACATGCTTCTTTTTGCATTTCATTCAGGTTCAACAATCGTCGCTCTGTGGGCAGTCATTTTGTGCTTTTGGCACCTGTGACCAGTTCCCCAAGATTTGGGTTCCAGACACTTCTGAGGAATGTCTGGATCCAGATCAGGAGTTTTGCTGATAACTTATATTATGAAAAGTTCATGTTAGACTTTGCAAAACTTTTGTTTTTCATATACATTTTCCCAGGTTCCACCTACCTAGCCTTTACTACTGGTTTTCCTCCGTGCCTGGATGCAGGCTGGACTTCAGTCCTGGGTTCCCCAAATTGCAATGGTCATGCTCCAGGGAACATGCTCAGTAAAGATGTACAGCAAATTAACTGATTCCTCTTTTAAAGAAGGAAGTTTTAAAGTAAAGAGTATTGGGGGGGAGGGGGGAAGGAGGTTGGACCCAATGATCTGTAAGGTCCCTTCCAGCCCCTAGGAACTATAAAAGTATACGGCCTACATTTTAGACCTAAATTTATTTGGTTCTGTCCCCATTCTCCCTCTTCTCTCCCTCTTTCCTCCCCCTCCCCCCGCCATAGCCAAGTACTACGCTGCTTCAATCTCAAAGAAGTGTTCAGGTGGCAAAAAGATCTTATGTTTTTTAATACAAGTGTATAGTGCTTCTCATGGTAAAGAAGAGATGCAACTATGGGTACACCGATACATCGGTCCCATATTGGATTGACACCGATATAAGGAAAATTGCCAGTATTGGCAGTCGGCTTTTTTTGGTTGATGTGGCCAATAATGATGCTGATTAAATGCCCCATGTATGCATGCAACTGCAGCACAGCACACAGGTGGCCAGGAGCACAGCCCGGGAGCATGGAGAGCAGGGTCCGGGTAGTAAGTCTCTTGTGGGAAGAGACAGGGAGGGGCAGATCAAGGCCCCCACAGTGAGGGAGGGAGTAGGGCTAGGGCAAGGCCAGGTGCTCCACAGCTGAGGTGGGGTGCTGGATGGAGCCACAACTCATCTGGGGGGGGGGGGGCGGGCGGGAGCCACAACTCGGCCCGGGGGGGGGGGTGCAAGGATGGGGAGGCAGCTCCCACCGCTGCGCACACCCCGGGAGGGCATGGGGGGGGGGGTCTGTCTGTGTTTTTCACCCCCCCCCCCCCCCCCCA